TCAGAAACAGAAAAAGTTTTTGTTCGTTTGATCAGAAACAACATTATTATTCATTCTCTTGCATTAAGTATACCGTACGAACGATTAGTTAATTTGTAATTCGTATACAACCGTATACGAATTAAGTATACGATTGATCATCCCGCTAGATCACCGGTAGCGGGAAAGAAGCTAGGTACCTACCTATTCAATTCAGTAGCACGTTAGCTCACGTGTTATGTAGTTCGGCTCGTCTGAACTCTGAATTGCATGTTCAGTGTGCATGATGCCGATGGGAAACTCTGCCTAATGATTAGGGTAAACGTGGTATATTCCGTCACATTAAGGACACATCGAGAAATGAAAAACTACAAAAAAATAACCGTATGCATTACTCAAGTTCTGTTTGCTTTATGTGACTCAAAACACTGCACTACGTGTCAGCCACAACAAAACATCACAAAATGTTGCCATATTTATTTAAAAGCCTTTAGAATGCAAACCTACCAAATCCCTATATTCCATCACTGTGTGTGGCTATATTAGGCACGTGGTGAGGCGTATTCCGTCCACGCTTCAAATTCTACTGATACGTAATGCCGTCATCCACGTGTTCAAATTCCGTTCGCTGTGTGAGCTGTATTGGAATACAACACGGCTTTGAATTAGAACACTAATGAATATTGAACACTACTTAATTACGCTTTTAATTAACAACTATTAAACCTTTCAGGGCGGATGTAGACTGTAGTCTACATTAAATTCTACTCTATTTTTAGGGCACTTCTAATTGCATTTCAGAATATTTTCAAACGTCGTTGCATAGAGTGCATCACAAGCTACACAGTGGTAGTTAGATTTGCTTCTTGGTGTCAGTAGTATGACAGCTATGAACAAGAGAAGATGCGTCAAAAAACGTTCCTTTGTCTGGCGAGTGTTACGCGGTTTTTTCATCATTTGTCATTCCAATTACAAATATTTCAAGACAATTATTTTAGTACAAATCATACTCATTGTATAGGTAATGATGCACAGTAAAATATTATATTGGCAAAAATATTTCATAGTACGAACTTTGTGATGTACAAGATTTTGAAATAATGTGTAGCTTATATGCTACATCCGGCAGTAAGTCACCAGAAGGGAAACAACTGAGTAGAACAGCGTCGTAATGGCACTATCTATTATATACATATGTATTACATTTGTATCATTACAAATATAGTTTTATAATTATGTTATACAAATGATATATTTGTAATCCAAATGAATTATTCTTTATATTATATTGAAGATCCATCATGTCATATGAGCAAGTGTGACCAAGCAGATCTGTCAAAGAACACGTGACCGAATATGAAAAGGTCCAGAATCGCTCAGCAATTTGTCAGGGTTGGAAGTTTCTGACAATAGATGAAGCTGTGAAGATGGTACTCCGTCCTGATGGTGATTAATCTGATGAAGATGATGAAGAATTAGAATCTGCTGTATATGATATTGAAGAAGAAGATACTATCCAACATAATCGCACCTTGCCAAATATCGAAGTGCATGATGGCGCATCTGAAGATGATATTCCGCTTTCAATCTGGGCAAAACAACAGAGAGCAGCTAAGAATAAATGAATTCAAATCTAAAGAACCTAATGACATTGAATGGGAAGACAGTCTTATTGTTGATGAAGAATGGCAAACATTTAGTGCAACTTCATTTTTCAATTTGATTTTTGATGATGTTCCTATAGATTTCATTGTTCGACAAACTAAACTGCATGCACTACGTAAGGATGGAAAAAAGAGAGACGAAGAAGCTTCGACTTCCGTGAGCATTTTTTTATTTCCTAGACATGACTCATGAGTGTGGTGAATTCCTGGTTTTTATATAAAAGGAATTACCAAGTACTGAAACAAAAGTGATGTCTCTGTCAAACTTCAAGGAAGATGTAGCCATTGGTTTGATGACTCCAAGTTCAACTCCAAGAGGAAGACCAAGCAGCGTGAATGGAGCCGCTACCAAAAAAAAAAGAAGAAAACTCTCGCATCCATTAGGCGCTGTTCATTTCATCAATATTAGTCATTTGCCATTTATTGCTGAAACTAAACTAAGATGAGTCAAAGATGAGTCACTAAAGTCATGTGCAACAAATGTAATGTAGGTTTATGCCTTACTAGAACAAAAACATGATATGCATAATACCATACTAAGTAGTCATTTAGTTCTATATCTGCCGGATGTAGACATAAGGCAACATTTCGTAACTTTTTCAAATAAATGAATTTTTCATAAATATTGTACTTTCTGTATTAATTAACACCTAAATAACTCATTTTTACAATAAAAATATTTTATTTTGAATCATAAGATAATTCAGGCATGAAAGGGTTAAGCTTTTAATTAAGCAAATTTTAATTTTTGTACACAGCTTGGAACAATCTGTGTGAGTCCAATTCAAGTTGTGACGGAATTACTTTTCATGTGTCTAAATCCATTTCTCAACTTAATCATCTATTAATTTATTTACCACTTGAAATCAGCTAAGACCTGGTGTTTTGGCAGTAGTTTGACGCGCAAATGTATGACGTCACCATTTCAACCATCAACGAACGCATGGAACTAGAACAAAGCTTAATATAAAGGAAAAACTAGAGAGGTGACGGAATTACCCACGATGTCGCAATATACTGCGTTTACCCTACTTAATGAAGTTTAGTTCATTGCGGTCAACTTAAGAGACAAATTTTCAACTAATACTTTTTATAAGTCTAATTTTAATTGTTGAGTGAAAGGTGCAGGCATACAACTTCCAAGTGATTACGTACTTTATAGAAAGTGAGCAAGTTAGCATACATATTTTAAGCCTTTAAAAAGTTCATTTTTTGCCTCAAATAACGATGTTGGGTAGAAAAAGTGCCAAAGCGGTCTTGGTGGATCAAAATAATATATGAATCTTTGAAATTAGAATTCCATCCTGTTGGGATGGAATTCTAATGTTGAGTGAAAGGTGCAGGCATACAACTTCCAAGTGATTACGTACTTTATAGAAACTGAGCAAGTTAGCGTACATGTTTTAAGACTTTAAAAAGTTCATTTTTTGCCTCAAATAACAATGTTGGATCGAAAAAGTGGTCTTGGAGGATCGAAATACTATATGTAATGAACCTTCGAAATTAGAATTCCATCCTGAATTGAACATCCTCTGAGGCTGGTGATTCCATAATTTTTGCCAGGGGTTGTAAAAATGAGACTGGGGAACCACAACAAGTCAACAATAACTAGTAGGTAATTTCATGCCAGGCCACACTCAGGATGATGTATGTTTTCGGTGAATTTTCCAGCGCATTTTCACTTTTTTTAAGCTATTGCTGTGCACAGTTGGCGCAATGTAATGAAAATTGATTATCTTCGCGCACGTATTCTCGCAATCGCGGCCATCTTTATTTTAGAAGAAATTTTCTCCAAAGTCATATGGCAACACTGAACACTGTCTGTTTACATTTCGTATGTATAACAGCCGCAGTTTACGATTACCGTACGTTCCGTATCCGACAAGGCGGACAACCGGAAGAGTCAGAAGTAACCCGGACATGTCTTACATTTTATTATTGTCAGTTTGACTCGCGTAGTCAATATACTCACGTATATTGTCGACTAAAATAGTAGAACTATTTTAGCTTTCTAAAGTACGGCACACGGTGCATTTTTTTTCCAATGTAGTACGGCGCACCGTGCAGGTCATTAAAATGACAAAATAAATTCCCACGCACCTGGCAGTGGCACATCTTCCTGACCAAATGACCATGGATGCCAGGATTTGCAAGCTAGTATGGAATATATCTACTTGGCAAGCCGCGACTGAATTTTTTGAGCCGTGGTTTTATGGATTTGCCAGCCGTGATTCCATTTCTACGAGCCGTGATTCTATTTCACCGAGCCGTGAATTCCATATCTCGAGATGTGTATAAGAGACAGCACGTCAGNTGAATTTCATCATTCATGTTGGCCATATTCACCTTGATTTGTTCGAGTTCAAATGAACGAATTTCGTCGTCGCTTAGCAGTGGCTCTGTCTCTTATACACATCTAGATGTGTATAAGAGACAGAATTTGCACCCTAGACTGTACCCTAGTGACTAGGAAGCAAATGGGTCCAATTTGCACCCTTGACCCTAGGTACTGACGGTAGCTAGTCGGCATAGTGGCAAAGCAGAGAGTTTTTTAGACTCTCCCTCAAGTTCAATTTTGAGCACTATAAGTAGACCAGTAAAGTATCATGGATACCACTATACCAGAATTATCATACATAAGAAATAGGTTTAAATCTTGAGTAAATGAGGAAATAAAAAATGAACTGATTCTAAAAAAGCTCTGGTCTGCCACCATGCGTAGAAATGGAATCACGGCTGGCAAATCCATAAAACCACGGCTCGAAAAATTCAGTCACGGCTCGCCAAGTAGATATATTCCATACTAGATTACGATGTTTATGTTTTTTCTGCAAGATGATTTTGGCGGAAACGGTAAAGCAATGCGGATTGCGGAAGTTGAAAATTTTATGAAATGACATGTTTGCGAAGTGCAAACCGCGATTTTTTAATCAAACAAAAATTTATGACATTCGAGCCGCGAGATTTCATACCTACTGAAATTAAATGATATTAGAGCCGCGATATTTCAGACAAAAATAGGACTTTTCCAGACTAGTTTGCAAGCAACTACCTAATGCAAGATGAGATGACAATGCCAAATTTCCAAGTATTAATTTTCTGATCCTGTTTTCAAGTTAGAACTTTAGCTACAAGGCAGGATCAATCTTGAATATATAAACCAATATTTCTAGAACTAAGTAATGCCATAGCCATACTAACTAAACTAAAAACCAAGCAAGAATGTAAAACTAGGAAAAGAGCTGCAATTTTTGAAAATTCAATTTAAACATATGAACATTCAAGAATTCTCATGACACAATTAATATCGATATAAAAGTATGCTTTAATATCCAACACTTGAAAGAGTAAACTTACGGAATTGGATTGTTTTCCCTTCCGAGGCATTTTTGAGGTTTTATAGGTATTAATCGGCAGCTTTTAAACGTATCGCACTAGCGACTACTAGCCTAGGTACCAATAAGTAATAATTACCGACTACACGTGCTCGTCAACGAAAACTAATTGTCGGAATATGGTGTATGAAAAGCGGACAAAGTTTTGCAGATCATCTAAGCATTGAAAAAATAAACAGGTTCAAAACAAAATTGAAATTTCAGGCATAATCTGTCATTAACAATATTTTGAGCAGCAATAAGTCAACTTTCGTGTGAAGTGAAAATTCGTTTAAAGCCAACGTTAGGGCAGGGTAGCCCAGTGGTTACAGTTCAGAGTATCAAGATTGGTGCGGCCGTAAATTTGTGCGAGACGTAGAAAGGGGCTGGTTCGATTCCAGCTCTCTGCGCTTGTTAGGCTGTTTCTGGTCAGAATCGGCGAGGAGGCCGGGTGATTAGTTTGAATGGTAGCAGTGAGTTGCGAGTTCGAGACTGCAAAATACTGTGAATGTTCTGCGATGTTAAGAATCGGCGACTGGCCTACGGCCTACTAAACGCTGCAACCGCAACCGCTATTATTATTATATTATAAGGTTCGTTTAAAGTCCAACCGATGTATGAAGCCAACGATTAGGCAACCCATTTGAGCCATACGTTCGTATGAAACAAGCGTTTGTTTGAAGCCAACGTTCGTTTAAAGTCAACGGGGGCTCGGAGGCAACATTTGTTTGAGAATATTTATATTTTTCAAGAAAAGTCAGCGGCACATGCATCGCTATCGTCGAACGAAGTTCGCAAGTGCAATGTTTAATTTGAGTGGAATCAATGGGGGCGCATGCCGGAGGCCAGCTTTGCCAAACTTTACACTTGGTTCATATTTCCTTCTCTAGGTAAGAACGCTTAGAGGGCATAACGGCCAATGAAGTCAAGTGCTCAAAGCCTTAGCGCCGGATGTCCACAGCTACAAAATAATCTTGCTACATGTAAGGATGGCCATACTGCATCTGGCCAAACCTCATCTGACCAAACCTCTTCCAGCTTAAACTACACAAGTTTGCAACATTTCTCCACCCAAAATGAACCTGAGCGGACCTAATCTAACCTATTTGGCTGCAGGCAGTTAGAATGGCGGTCTAAGTGTGCTGATGCCAGTCATTGGCTGCAGGCAAGTTGTGAGCCGGGACAGCGTGAATAGGTTTGGCTATAAGAGGTTAGGCCGGAGTAGGTACAGCCGGAAGAACGGCCTGCATATGAGCGAGCATGCTTAAGCATTGGCTGAAGACCTACGGCGCTATTATCTTTCGGCAGTGTGTTGCTTGTCTAGATTACGGAGTTCAAGCGTAGCCTGCGGCTTCTAGTTCTGAGGCTGAGTAAACTTAATGCATGGTGAGGCTGGACGTTGGCTCCACGGCTTATTCAAGAGTTAAATTTGTGGCCTACGGCTGCACCCCCGCCCAATTCCATGCGCTCTACTCAGGACTCAAACTTACTGGGTTAGGTGATTGTGAATATTTTTGTCATGAACTTGAATATTTTTGTCATGAATAGGAAAGTTTTTCATGCGCCCAACCTTAATAATAAAACTGGTTGTCTAGCAACGAACATTTCAATGGAACTACATTGCGCGACTTTTTAAATAGAAATATAAAATATAACATACAAATTTTTCTTTTATCTTCTAAAATAAATTTAAATTTCTGTGCTAATTGAAAAATATCGATCCTAATACCCGTTATCAATATTCAAACCAGAGATTCACGAAGTTCAGGAACGATGTAGTAAGCGCGGAAATTTTTTTTAAATCAATTAACATTTTTCCTTTCAACTATTGTTTAACACGAGATGAAAGGCAGAATATTCATCTCGATGCAGCCAGGGAGAGAAGAGATACGTTAGCACATTGCTAAGCAATGAGGCGCTCAGGAATAATGGTTGAAGGAATGCACTCCGGCACGCTAAGATACGCGTCGAAAACCCATACCCTCCTCCCATAGGAGCTATAAGTTATGGTGATTGGATAATGAATGAGACAAAATAAGGGCCTTGAATTGCTGGGATTATAAGCAAGAGGGAATGACTCTACTGAGCCTGGCGCTGAAATCTTTCAGTCCACTACACCCCTGACCTCAATTTACGAGGTAGACTTCAATAGGTCCCTTAAGCTATATGAATATATACAAAGGTACGAAAAATAGATAGTAATTGCAATTTAGAACGAAGTCCAGAAGTTAAGGCAATGTGTGTAAAGAAAATTATTTTCTCAAACGGTAACCAACACCGGTTCACATAATAACTACAGACGAAAAAGTCAAATAACCTGACAATTTACGGTAACAATTTATTAAGAGCCCATCGCCGCGAAAATGCATCATTCTACATCGTACATTCTAATATTTATCTTCTATGTAAGCTAATAAAATGTGCCACCAGGATCATGCATGCCTCTTAAGTAAAAATAAAACAGTAGTACATAGAGGCAAACTTGAAACTTTTTCTTGCCCTACTCCTCGGGACTGAGGAAAATATGAAGCCGTAAAAGTACTGAAGCCAAGTATCACAGATACCATCATTGTCACACACATGGAATTGAGTAGAATCTTGGGACCGTGAGGTCAACAACAAATTTCACGTCGGCCAGTGTACGGCAGAGGAACTGACTTTGGCTAGAAATAAGACAAATATACAGACAAAACTGAAGTAAAAGAATAAAGAAATTATTTCATTTCTGATCGAAAATGTTAAGAAAAAAACTCAACGCATACAAGAGAACAAAATTGCACGTGCAAAAACACGAGTACAAAGAAAACAGGGCCCATACTTTGTAAAAAAAAAGTTAAGAGATCGTAAGTTCATCAGCCAATCATTGACGGCCTTTCAGGCAAAATCCACCAATCATAGACAAAAAAATAGAGCGTAAGTACTTACGTTCGCTTAACGAGTTTTGAAATTATGGCCCCTGGGCGGAAAAACTGCGAAATTAAATCCTATCTTCAAGGAGAGAACTAAAAATTGGATGAGAACTTGCAACGGAAGGAGAGCTGAAGCTTATAACAAATAACTAAGGCAACTTTTATCACCAAGGTGCAAACAACTAGGTATATATGTGTGCTAAATTGTAAAAAGACGTGGAGAGATACGCACAAACTTCCCGAAAATAGGGTTGAATAAAATATCATTAAGCAAAAGTAAGAGAACAAATGATTAAAAAATTCACATCAGAAACTGATGTACAAAATAGCGAATAAATTACACAACGTTCACATGTAGTGGATAGTGGGCAGTATAATCCAATAGTTAATGTAATGATGACATTTACGCCTGCAATTTCTAGCACAGCCCGATGGCGACTAAATGACAAGTGACAACTGAAATGCAGCGTAACGAATTTTATAACGTTTACGGCGACAAAAATTATTATCAATCTATATTGATTCTGAATGCACCTTGCCAGAACCACGCCAAGCAGGCGCTGAATGACGAAGCATGAATAGCACAAATTTCAAGATAATATTTGTCTGAAAATGATGAAGCTACAAATACCGTTTAATTAATCAACAACAATTATCAATCATACTAACACATCATGTAGCTTTAAATATTCCAAAAACCATACCCAAAAATGCCTCTAAAAATCAAGCTTCACAACCACAACGAAGTCTTAAGTTCAATATTCAAACGAAAAATATTTCCATTGCTTAGAAGTGCAAGTAAAAACGCTTCTTTTTCTTAAAACGCGAATGTAGTGAAAATTCAAGAAAGTAAAACGATTTAATTTTGCTCTAATTAGCCATATGCAGGGCTATTCTAAATGATTGACTTAATTTAAAAACTCCTATCTATTGATATATAATTTCAAATGAATAGTTTATGCACTAATCGAATGAGGAAAAGTTAAAGTTTATTTTACAGGTTTTTCACAAAGTTTACACGGCAAACATCTAAACGGCAGCCAAACTCGTCCCACACACGAGAAAGCATATCTTCTGTTACTGAGTGCACCGTAGCAGTGATACGGTTCTTCAGATCAACCAGAGTTGCTGGTAGAGGCGGGACGTAAACTAACAGCTTCCTTGACGTAACCCCATAAGAAATAGTCACATGGGGTGAGATCAGGTGATCTCGGTGGCCAGAAGTGTAGAGCCAGATCTTCATTGCCTATGCGTCCTACCCAAATCGCGAGGGACGAGTTTGGCTGGTTTAGATGTTTGCTGTGTAGCACCTTTAGCATTTATAAATATGCAAAATAATTGTATTTTCATGTTTTTATTGGTGTATAAGTTATTAATTTAAATTTAAACCTAAATAAATATGAATTTATTAAATTGGGTTCATCCTTTAGGATAATCCTGTACTTTCATTAGTTTTCGTTGCTCATACGTCATACACGCGATTATTTCATTTTTTCAAGTCAGAGAGCGCACTCAACTTAAAACATTACTGGTACTTCACACTCAAAAATCTGAGCACAATCAAACAAGAGAAACTTATTCTACTGAGCAACTTCAGTAGCGGCTTCGGCACACGAGTAACGAATGAATAAACAACAATAAAAGCAATATGAATTAGTTTCATAGAAATATTGAAATTATTACATACAAATATCAATAAAACTAGTGTGTATTTGCATAAAAGGGAAACAGTACCAATATATGTATAGAACTTAAACCAATATGCTTTAAAATTGCTGTTACAACAAATTCATCGCAAAATTAACATCAATGAATAAAAAACACATATAAAATATTTCACCGGATCCACATTCCAAACATTCATGAGCTCATGTACCGAATGAACAGAACAAGCTGCTATTTGATCATTTTCATCATTTAAATCATCATTTAATTTTTCATTTTCATCATCAGTTTCATTATTTAGATAAAATTTGATCATACACTCCAGCAAGGCTACCACCACAACATTACACTCAAGCTTGGACAAAGACCCAGCAGCAGCAGGTCAGTGAGCTTCTGTCTGCATTTTGTGCAGGTACCCAAGTTAGCCGCCGGACTTTATATTCAAGCAATGTGGAAATAATCAAAATTTCAGTGAAAAATCAAATAGACAGAAAATGTTCCGTTTTCTAGCTTACTCAAACAAAATATAAATAACAATGAGTAGTTATGCGCTTTTCAGTGATGTTTCTTTTCTGATATGATGAGTAACACCAAATTGAAACATTAACAAACTCGACGCAATAACACATACAGGACAAAATTAAGTAAGTAAGCAACAAAGAATAGTTTAAGTCGTACTTTAAATGAATTCCAGTGAGAATGCCAATTGTTTATAAAAGGTATAAGAATAATATACACTTACCACTCGCTATCAATTTTTTTTTTTTCTTAGAAAACAAGATGAAAATTCTTTCATTACATTATTTCACTCATACACGCTTCATTCCAATTTTAACAAAATTCTATCATTTCCACCACAATTGGAATTATTCTAATCCTAATGAATTTGAATTACTACTTTGAATTAGAACACTGTTAGAACACAGAAACTTGGAAGAGATATTGTCAGTGGTGATGACCCAATGAGAACAATAGTGGGACGAATGCCCCAATAATTAGGAAGATAAACTGCTTGCAGGTAACATGTTTGGGCGCGTCAGGGTCTGCAGTGGAGGAGTTGGTGATGTCGGGCAAGATGTGCACGGTGGCGACGTATAGGAAGGTGCCTGCGCTGAACAACATGGCTATGCTGGTGTTGGCTGAGTCAGACATGCTAGGTGAACCCAACTGCACAGTAAATTGATGTGTTAAATGTTGCAATGCATCCTCGTCATATAATAATTGCCTAGAAATTAGAAGAAAATATTGTATTTGAATGAATTTTTGCACATTTATAAAGAATGTAAAAGAGGATGAACTGAACTAATTTCTTCTTCTGAGAATCTATACAAGATTTTCTAAACTCGTTGCTTCTTATGATAAAAATTAATCAGGCACAAGATTGAAAGTAGCAGAGCTTTACATTAGCACTTATGTGTTCATCTTAAAGGTTTATTAAACAAGAACAGTTCGGCACAGACTTGATACTAGATCAAACATGATATTGATCTGTGATATCTATGAATACTAAAATTTAAATTTAACAAGGTTAACCATAAATCAATGCACATCCCTGTTTACTTAAGTGAAAACTATTTCAATAAGGAAACAATCCTATACCTATATAAATTAATAATAAAAAAGTATTTCAATTCAGTTCAACTATCATTCATTTACTGACCATGGTCACCAGCGTGTAAGTAATAAATGCCCCAACAGGAGCAGCAAAAGAGAACACCAGCAGCAGCTTGTTAATCCTTCTCAAGTCATTGCCTTCCTTCACCAAGTATGAAGTCAGACCAAATGCTGTAGGCGCCTTGTGCAACATGATGGCAAAAAATACAATGAACTCCACGTCAGAGTGATGAGAAGCCACGGCAGCACCCAACGCAATGCCGTCTGCAGCAGCGTGGACTACGAGACCTAAAGTTGCTGTGCACACACGACGTGTTTTGTTTGAACTCTGCATCAGCAACACTCCTGTTAAAAGCCACGGTGATTTGTATTATGTATGTTGTTGTCAAGCTTTTGAGTATTAGGAAATTCAAACGGGGAAGACTGCAATCTAATCACATTTTATTTTGCTGATTACCTTCGAAATAATAAAGAAGAAAAGATGTTTAAACTAATTTTGTAAGTGAAAATTGATGTAAAGCCACATAAATAATAATAAATAAAAAGAATACAAATCACAGCTAACTTACTCATTAAAGTCATAAATAAATGCATTAATAGACTATGAACAAAACAGCCTCAGGGATAAATGAATAAAGATGAACGAATAATTACCAGAGCTGGGATTGCTGTCCAAGTCCCCTCTAGGACTGTGGAAGTGTGAAGAAGTAGACAACATGTCCACAAACAACATAAATAGGAAGCCTAAAAGAAGGGACAACGCCACAATCATTTCATTGTCTCTGTGGTGCTGATGTTCATGTGCAGGAGCAGCAACCACCTCGTTTACAGGCTCCAGCTCCTTGCGTGCGGCCGCTGCACTTGGGGTTTTAGATGACACCATGTCTTCCTCTAGGCCTACAAAACACTTAATTTCAGAGAGCACAAAAATTGAAAGTTTAAAATTTTGTAAGAAACAAGATTTAACAATACAAAAAATAAAATCTAAATGTAATCTAAGATTTAAAAAGTATTCTATCATCAATGACTTAAGTAAATGAATATGGTACTGGTTGCCAACTTGCCAATATTGGCTAAAAGGTTATTTTACATATACAGTAATCTATTTTTATGATTCAAATATGGACCAAGTAATTAAATTCTTATAACCTAGAGAATAAAATTATTATTTAGACTGGTCTATGTTATATAATTCGTCAATATCCATAGAAAAATAGAAAGCTGTTCAAATTTTTCAATACCTGCAAGTGAATAAATACCTGATAACCAACAAGGAACAAGTTCTACCATGACTGATTAAAACAAGAACTCAGGAAATTTTTAGATAGTTCTGATACCTTCAGAGATAATGAAAGTAGAGGCTGTACCAACAAGGAGTTCTGCACCAAAAACACTAACTCACAAGATATGTAGAGAGTTCTAATTCCTTCAGGAATAATAACAGTGAAGGCAGTACCAACAAGGAGTCCGGCACCAAAAACACTCATAAGCTCTTGGCTCTTGCCCTCACGACCCTGGAATGCAACATGGATCATTAAATGAAATAATAGTTTGGAATTCATACAACAACCATATTATCAAGTAAATAAGTATGTCAATACAATTTTTTTAAGATACATTTTGATCTGTAAATGCCAATGATATTTGACAGAATATGGTAAAACACTGACCTGAATCCAAAGTGGTAATCTGCCTGAAATGTAACAGCCTAAAAACATTGCTATAGACATCATAGTGAGCTCCAAAAATGGTTCCATTATGGGAATTAAAATGAGTTGAACTAAAAAAGAACAATCAAATAAAATATAAGTTGAAGTATTTAACCCTAATCGCCTCGGGTTTTTGTGTCACGCAACAACCTCGTATGCAAATGATATCTGCCCTTTGTTCGGTCAAGTTTTTTTTTTCGGCCTTCCATCATACATATGCCGCAATTATTTTACCACACACTAATATAGATTGTTTCCTATCAAATGCAGTCTTCAAATACACAATTGTGAACTCGAATCCATTTTTTTTATTATGAGAATGAAAAGACCAAATTTTTGGTCTCAAGCAGAGCCATTTCTGTGTATGACAACTGCAGCCACTGGATATTGAGGTGGTGATATTTCCAATGGTTAGATTCAAGGTCATTCACCTGTGCATATGCCTAACAAGCCAGACATACAGTTAACACCTTTCTAGAATTGCATGATTATGCAACAACTAATATTGAGCATTCGCATATCAAAATGAAACAAGGTGCATCTTCAATTTTTATAAATGAAACATAATACAGCAAAATCTGTATCTGTAGTATCATATCTGAACATACTCATTAGGAATCTTGCATTTATGATGATGAATGCTGGTTGGAGTATATATTAAGGCAATGAAGATCAGCATGAATTTCTATCTATCAACATTTATAACTGATTTTGTTGCAAAAAAGTAAGGTTAATGACATTATTTCTAAATTTATAACTTTCATTTGTTGTCCAATAACATAAATTCCAAATGAATACACATAATATGGTAAAGTTTTCTGATGGCTCAAATTCAAAATTTTTATTTATAATGTGAAAGAGAGTGCAAGCTACAATGCGATTATTCATCAGTTAGCAAACAGTCTGCACAAATTGGTTCGAAGTGTTGCTTACAAACAGGTTTCTGGCACATCTTGCACGGAGTTGTAATTCGGCTCATCGTGGCTTGCTTCTTCATTCTTTCCGCAGCTACCAGTAGGCGAGATTTTTCTTCAACACATTTGAAACATCGCTTTCTTGTTGTTACCAATGTAGTCACATTCGTTGCAGGACAGTTGGAGGCGGTTGCGCCAATAGGGGGCCGGGCAATAAGGCTTTCAGGTGCTGCTTCTCTGCTGGACGATGCTGCAACTGATGCTCCTGTTTCCGATACTTCTGATGTATGGCTATTACCGAGAGACCTTAGGAATGCTGCAATTTTGTGCTTTGCTGTTTTGGAAAGATGATTTTTGTTTCGTTTGTTGATGTGATCATGGACGAGTTCAGTCGCCAATTGGAATGCAAATTGAAATGAATTTGAGCTATTAGGAATTTTTTGTCGATTCAGTTCCCACAGAACTTGTGCATTGACTCGTGCTGTGTCTAGCATGAATGAAAAGACAGACATGGTCCATCGGTTGGCTTTTGTATTCGTGTTGTAAGTTCCTATTCTTTGATCTACAATATCTGTTACTCCTTTGGTGAATTCATAGAGTTTCAGGATTGCTGGCTTGTTTTTTTGATCATCTGCAGTAGTTGCTATCAGGGGGCGTAAAGTAGTGAGTGCCAACACGTTTTTCTTTCCCTTCGACTTAGTGTTTACAACATAAGAGTGGAGTGACAGTTTTTTATTGGCGTTCTCCCACATCACACGATATGAAAACTCTTCCCTGTTCTGAATAGAGGACATTTCACGGGGGATTCCTTTTCTGCTGGCCGTTATTGTTCCCAATACTGTGATATTTTTACTTAGAAGCCATTCACAGAGCTCTATATTTGTGTACAGTTGGTCCATGGTGATGTTTATTCCTTTCAGGCTGGAATATTTTTCCAGTTCTTCAATCAATCTCATCACGATTTGGGATGTTCCCTGAACATAGTATGGTGCTGGAGTTTTTACCGGTTTGCCACAATACACTGCAGTTTGATAGGTGTAAGGAAATCTGGCCGAGTTTACAGACTTGTACAAAATGCCATATTTAGCAGGCTTTTTTGGCTTGTATTGCTTGAATGCTATTTTATTACGGCAAGGGTAGAGATTTTCATTTAAGGAAAGATAGTCAGTAGGATAGAGGGCAGACCCACAATTTCTGTTGAATAATTCAAAGACATCTCTAATTGCGGCAAATTTATCATGCGGCCACCGATCAGCCCGGGTGTCGATGTTATCAAAGCAAAGGTTTGCATGAAGAAATGAGAATCTGCTTGCTGACATTGTACATGAAAATATTGGAGGTCCAACCACATTACTGAAGAGAAGTTGGTAGCTGTGGTGATTTATGCCCAAAGCTCCTCTCATGTAACATAACCCAATGAATGCTTTTATTTCATCATGGTCAGTGTATCTTATGTAATTAAATTCTGGCTTGTTTTGTGCTAGACAGACTTTTGGTCTAATTTTTTTGTTTGTTGAGTCTACAATAGCTGTGATCATGTCATTGCTAAAGAATACGTTCCAGGCTGATAAATGGCTGGCAGCCGACAAAACTTCAGGCTTTACAGTTGGTTGAGCTTGAATAATATTCTCAGAATCAGTTCTATGTTCAAAACATTGAGCTGGAGGATTGGTAGACCAAGTCAGTGTTTTTTCAGGTTCATGTTTAGTTTTCTTACTGATTATTACATTGTAGGCTTTTTCTGTACCTGGCAATTGAAAAACTTTGTAATTTTTGGGATTCAGAGCAGAATCAATGGAGCAAACTTTGCGCTTCTGAGAATTCAGTCTTGGTGTTTCTCTGAGACAAGTTTCTAATGCTTGAGTATTGTCTAAAACAAATGATTTTTCGTGAAGCAGCTCTAGGCAAAGTTCTGATGTATACTCACTTTCTTGATCGTTGTCATCAACACTGAGGATAAAGTTGACATCATCATCATCATCATTGCTGCATTCATTCTCATTGTTTATGTGTTCCATGAGTTTTTTTGTCTCACTGTCAGTCAGTTTATTGCTTGCCATTGCAAAAACATGAATTGAGACAGCGGAAGGATCAAGTAGCTCTCGTCTCTGTAACTAGTGAAAGAGTGCTAATGTGTGTTGGGCAGGAGACTTCACTGCCAGCAAGCAGAGCAGTTCACTTAGTTCCAAAAGTTAGTATGTCATTTGCTAAATGACCCACGGTACCAGTAAAGCTGCAGTAAAGCTTCTAGATCAAAATAACTAAATTATTATTGATCTAACACCAAGAATAGATCTCAGTTGAAGAGTATCTAGACAGACAAAACAGTCAGATATTCTGTTATTTTTTATGGAGATTATTATAAACAATGGGCATTTTCCCACGGACCCGGCGCGATTAGGGTTAAATTTATACTCAACTTACTACTTGATAATCATTGCTCAGTTTCACCGATATAACAATGTAAAACTTGATCTAAGTTACTAACTGCATCAAAAACTTCACAATTAAGCTTATCTGAGCTGGAGGAGTAAATGATGAAAGTACATTATAATTTTTCATTGATAATTAATGACCTGTACTGAGTAAATGATTTTACATCAATGACACCAAACTGAACAAAGCAACTGCCAAAAAACTGCTTTAAATGAACTGAAAATTATTTACCTAGTCTAGTGTGGAGAAACAAACATAATCAAACATTAATACTGAAAGATTATTCAGAACTAGTAGGTAAGACAAGCATTGCCCACTGCCCAGTATATGGAGTCCTTGTTGTTTAAAAATTCAATTTTTCCAAATCAAACAATCCCAAATCCTATCATTCCTAATATTGTAAATAATTTTTAAACTAAATTATAGTAATTGAATGGAAATTTCATTTGCCAGTGGATTCTCATGTAAGTCTTGTTTAGAAAAGAATCTTGAATTTTTTAAACTAAATTTTACTCTTGTCAAAGTGGAAGTCATATTTAATTTTAAATCCATCTCTTCATGTGATTTGTCAATGCCAAAGCTTTCCATCATTGTAAATAAAATTCCCTGGTAACATCCTAGTAGAATAAGAATTAAACTCAAAGATTATATATACGGTATATACGGTAGTTTGGCAGAAGCTTCTCTTTTATGCAAGTTTGATTGAAGACCAGAGCATGCTTTTTATCAACAATCTTCGTCTTTTCAATGAGTCAAACCAAATTTCTAGCTGGAGCCGGGAGATTGAAAAGCAGGTTTCTGAATGACATTTTAATAGACTGCGAAGTTTTGAAAATACAATTTTCATTATCAAGCTGGTGAAGGTTTTACAACACTTGAAATTAAATTTTGGGAATGACAGAAGTACCAGTACATATGAATGGTATAGTGGATACAATTTTAAAATCTTAGCTTAAAATTACTCTGAAATAATTTCAGCATCCGGACAAATCCTGTAGTTTGGAGGTTGATGGCTGGAGACTTGCTCTTGATAATGAGGGCCTCAGCTATTGCCAGTCTTGATGGGTCGGGGCACCGCATAACTATGCTGGTGCAGGCCTCCAATGTCGCTCGGGTGATGGTCTCATTGCGAGCCTCCCGCATGTGGTTCTTAGGTCCTCCAGATTGTAGATGGCATGTGAGTTGTCGGCTCAAGGTTGTGCTTGCAAGGCCAATGTAGTTCATGTTTGGAAGAAGTCTACAACCTTCTTTATTACATGAGAATTTATAAACCACATTAGTTTCTTGAAGCAGACCAGATTTTTTACAGAGATTATTATTCATTACAAGGATTTTAATTTTCTCATTTTTGTAGTAGATCAGAAGTTTTATATTTTTGTTATCCATTGTGCTCTTGATATTATTATGGAATATGAATGACTGACTGTAGGATTCGTTCATCTAGGTACTTTGTAACCTCTGTTCATCTGGTTTTGGTAGAAAACCATTGTGATGGTTCCATTAGATATTGCTTCATTGTTGGTTTGGTTTTCTCTTGAGTGGTAATTTGATATTTCAGTGTTAACTGTTCTACTTGAAAACCAATTATTGACTAAAATTTGTTTACACAATCTGAGTTGAATATTTGAAGAAGGTTGTAGACTTCTTCAAAACATAAACTACATTAGTCTTACTAGCATGACCTCAAGGCAACAACTCGCATGCCACCTACAATCAGTAGGACCTAAGAACCACATGCAGTGCAGCGGAAGGCTCACAATGAGATCATCACCCAAGCAACATTGGAAGCATGCAACAGCATAGGTAATTAGCTATGTGGTGCCCTGACCCATCAA